TTTCTTTCTTCGTGTAGTGTAAGACATCGTCAACTTTTGCAGCCCGTATTGGTGGGCCTTCGTTGTTGTCCTGTGAAACTATTTTTGGTTTATTATAATCATACAGTTGCTCCATGTATTCTGCCAATCTAATAATTATACCACTTGGCCACAATAAATAATAGTTCACCACCATTCGATTTTGAGTACCCAGAGCTTGTGCATGCCTTTTTTTTCCCTGTAAGAAGATGTGTTTATTGGTACATGGAATATGGGTATTTCCCTTGACGTATTCCTACTGCTGTGATTATCTTCTTAAGTTATCTTTCCTCGGCTCCTTTGGATTTGTTTACTTTATCTTTATGTATTCTAGAATATTCCTACTAATAATTCCTTTTTTCTTATCTGTTTAGGAATTAAAAAAAAATTTTTTGGCAGCTCTTTGTTGCAGAGGTATTTATTAATTTTGATGTCTGGTGAATTGACTGGCACAGCATATGTTCATCAATTATCTGTATTATTCCCATGGCATTAAAACTATTTTGCACCTCGACATTGTAATGTTCTTCAACTTCTTTATCACTTTTAAGTACTTGCAAATTTAACTTGACGTTCTGTTTGGAGCCTTTTTTAAAGTCATCAGTTTTAATCTAATCTTTCCTAAAACTGGAAAAGGACGACTATATCAGTATGATACTGGCCTAGTCTTTGCTTCAACCAAACTGTTGCTGAACCTTTCTGAAATCAATACATAATAAGTCTATTTGCGAACATTTTCGCCAAGACTTGTCCAAGTGTACAATCGACGAGGGTGGTGTTTAAATGAGGTGTTGCCAAATGTCATGTTATGTGACCCAGTCCAAACTAATAATTTGCCACATCGTTCATTCACTTCTTCTAGGCAATAATCATCAATTATTGCGGACACTTTTTCATCTCAAACACTTACACTGAAATCACTCATAATCAATACAATGTAAAACTGATTAAACACAGTAACAAAAGTGCACTTATGTGATCTCCAGAGCCTTCTGCAGTTAGTGCATACACCTGTGCCAAGTTTGTATCAACTGATTTGCTTTGGATTTTTTCTAATATCACCCTGTCTAAAACAGTCTACAATCCTGTGAACGTTTTTGCGCACTGTGAATCGCCCAAAACATACCAACACATCCCACCTGAATAAATAGTATTGTGTTAGGTGAATACAACACGCACCCCCCCCCCCCCCCCCCCCCCCCCCCTCCCCCCCCCTCCACCCCCCCCCCCCCCCCCCCCCCCCCCCCCCCCCGCCCCCCCCCCCCCCCACCTCCCGTCTTCCCCCCAAAATCTGGCACTGCACTAATTCTTACTATTTTGATATTCATTCTACCGATTTCGCTCTTGATTTTGTCCATACTTCCATTTCGTACATGTTTTCAACACATTATATGCACCACGTGTAAGCTGTTTATGACATTCAAGTTCTCTTCAGTAGTCCAATGAAGGAGGGGTATCAACCGCAGAATATGACGCTTCCTAACGGAAGAGGTGATTTCTTTAGAGCCACCATAACGGTAGATATCGGAATACACTTTGTAAAAGGCATGAATTACTAGGGAAAATATAGCTAATGTTTCCCCTCGCGTTTCGGGGAAAGAAACGGGTGGTTGGGGGAGGGGGTTGCAATGTTCTCTTACCCACCAAGGGTAAGAAGACGAAAAAGAAGAAGAAGAAAAATAAGAAGAAGAAGAAGAAGAAGAAGAAGAAGAAGAAGAAGAAGAAGAAGAAGAAGAAGAAGAAGAAGAAGAAGAAGAAGAAGAAGAAGAAGAAGAAGAAGAAGAAGAAGAAGAAGAAGAAGAAGAAGAAGAAGAAGAAGAAGAAGAAGAAGAAGAAGAAGAAGAAGAAGAAGAAGAAGAAGAAGAAGAAGAAGAAGAAGAAGAAGAAGAAGAAGAAGAAGAAGAAGAAGAAGAAGAAGAAGAAGAAGAAGAAGAAGAAAGAAGAAGAAGAAGAAGAAGAAGAAGAAGAAGAAGAAGAAGAAGAAGAAGAAGAAGAAGAGAAGAAGAAGAAGAAGAAGAAGAAGAAGAAGAAGAAGAAGAAGAAGAAGAAGAAGAAGAAGAAGAAGAAGAAGAAGAAGAAGAAGAAGAAGAAGAAGAAGAAGAAGAAGAAGAAGAAGAAGAAGAAGAAGAAGAAGAAGAAGAAGAAGAAGAAGAAGAAGAAGAAGAAGAAGAAGAAGAAGAAGAAGAAGAAGAAGAAGAAGAAGAAGAAGAAGAAGAAGAAGAAAGAAGAAGAAGAAGAAGAAGAAAAGAAGAAGAAGAAGAAGAAGAAGAAGAAGAAGAAGAAGAAGAAGAAGAAGAAGAAGAAGAAGAAGAAGAAGAAGAAGAAGAAGAAGAAGAAGAAGAAGAAGAAGAAGAAGAAGAAGAAGGAAAACAGAACAAAAAGAAACAGAACAAAGAGTAGAAGAAGAAGCAGTTTGAACTGACAGTCAACAGGTATACTGCTGGTGAAATAAATATTACAAACGTTTCATTACATTCTTCAAGTTATTATACTATTATAACATTAATAGTGTTTATAGAAAGCGGGAAAAGAGCAGTTATCCTTCGCATAATGAACAAGGCATATCGTACCTCAAAAGTGTCCCATTTGAGAACATCAGATTGCGGAATAGCTACAACAGAATCATCCTCCTTTATTCTCTGCAGTAACGGCTCTAACCAGCCTGGTGAGCAAAGAAGGTTGTCATCAGTTGTTTATTTTTCCATCTTTTTATAAATCAGCAATATTTCAATTAAATGTAATAATTGTCTGCTTTCCTGTATGGGTTCTCAGGCACTACAGAAAACAATTAATGTTAAACTTTGAACATGATGCAGTGAAAAAACTGAAATGTGCATTTTCTTTGCTTTTGTGTTGTTGTTATTGTTTTCATCTTAGTGTGTGGTTGTTAAGTTTTAATTACATTTCATATTGTGTCTAATTTTTCTTTGACATATTTTTCTTGTTGGGTGTAAATTATTAATCCGTATGGTTTTAATTATGCTTGTAGATGCATGGCTACTGCATGAAAAAACATATTGCTAGCCTCAGTTGTGCATTTACTTATGGTAAGGAATTCAATTATACTATCCTGAGTTTTTATGCCGACATGTCAGATGTGTTACATTTCTTCTTTATTTTAATAAATTGTGTAAAAAGATAATGTCATTGAAAACAACGCGTTGTAGGACATTTAATTAATTGAAAAACTAGTGCTCGAAACTGTATAAAGAATTGTATTTTTGCCAATTGGCAATTAACAACACATAGCACCTACATTTGTCTAGAAAAACCACAAAACATCCAGGGGCTGTTGGGGTTGGTTCTGCAACGTTCTGTAAAGGATACGCAACTAATCTTATCTTAAAATGTTGGAGGTGTTTAAAAGCTGTTGTTCGTGGTGCTCACCGACTGCCGCAGCTCCAGCTAGAAATGCTATTTGTGGTCGTAGAGAAGTGAGAGAGATGACAATGACGCTTTTTCGCAAAATAGATGACAAGGAGGTTGCCGGGGACGGGGGGGGGGGGGGGGGGGGGGGGCAGAAGGCATATTTACAAACCAACGGACAAACTATGATTTTTGAGTATTTCATGACTACCTAACGGGTTCGATCCCAGCTGCGGGCCTGGCGCCTTGCGTTGGTTTCGACTGTGGGATCAAGAAAGCCGACCGTTCATAAAGCAATGGCAAACTACTGGACGTAAATTTGCCTAGAAAAACCACCCAACAGCCAGGGGCTATTGGGAATGGTTCTGCAATGTCCTGTAAAGGATACGCAACTAACCAACCATGACTGCTTGCGATAGGTGGTCAAGACAGAGTTACTGAGTTCCATCAAGCCAATATTGACTCGATTGTGTGAAAGACCATTCTGGATATCAGTATTGTAAAGCAGACTGTTAAACGAATGATCACATATGCCCATGGGAAGTGGTATGAGTTAATTATAGGATGCAGGATACCTTTTGATACTTCACAGTGACCATCCAGAAAAACTACAACCTCTCCAGTCACGTGTTGAAAGCCGGTGTTTCGTGCCACCATCAGACCTTTTCTCTCTGGCAGGCGAACTAATTTGACCTTTCCACCGAAGATCCTAATGTAGTTATCTAGAGGCAGTCCAAGAGTGTCTGTTGAAAACAATTCAGAGGAAAGTAAATGATGATGGTGATAGTGGTGCTGATGACGACGATGCTGATGTGGATGATTTCAATATCAATAATAATTGTAGTGGATGCGGCGGTGGTAGTTGTAGTACTACTAGTAGGAGTAGTTCGTGTTGTAGTTCTTGTAGCAGTTATAGTATTATTATTAGAAGTATTATTCATTAAGGTAGTCGTCGTGGTGCAGCGGCTAGACGCTCGTCTCCGGGTCAAAGCGGAATCTGACTTTTTCAAAACATGAAATTGAGTCCCAGGTCGATCAAGCATTGAGCCGGGACCATTTAAACTCATAGGAAGTAAAGGCGACGAAGGGGATGTTGACCACATCAGCCATCAAGTGGTGACTGGTCTATAATTTATGTGTTTAATCCTTTGTGTACTATATGCTGGTATAGTCCTATATGCCCGATACGCTGGTGTAATCCTGTATGCCCTATACGCTGGTGTAGTCCTATGTGCCCTATACGCTAGTGTAGTCATATATGCCCTATACGCTGATGTAGTCCGATATGCCCTATACGCTGGTGTAATCATATATGCCATAAACGATGGTGTAGTCCGATATGCCCTATATGCTGGTGTAATCCTATCTGCCATAGACGTTGGTGTAGTCCTATATGCCATGTTCGCTGATGTAGTCCTATATGCCCTATACGCTGATGTAGTCCGATATGCCCTATACGCTAGTGTAGTCATATATGCCCTATACGCTGATGTAGACCGATATGCCCTATACGCTATACGCTGGTGTAATCCTATATGCCATAGACGATGGTGAAGTCTGATATGCCCTATACGCTGGTGTAATCCTATATGACATAGACGTTGGTGTAGTCCTATATGCCATGTACGCTGGTGTAGTCCTATATGCCCTATACGCAGATGTAGTAAGATATGCCCTATACGCTGGCGTATTCATATGTGCCCTATACGCTGGGGCAGTCCTATATGCCCAGTATGCTGGTATACTCCTATATACCGTATACGATGGTGTAGTCCTATACGCTTAAAGGCGTGGAAAAGGGTCCTTTACTTTATTATTAATTGAGGTCGGAGGTTTTATTCACAGCAGCGCCCTTCGGTTGACAGAGACACATAGGGATCGTCGCCTAATCTACTTTGTCCATGCTTTGTGCGAGCTCACATCAGGAGTCAGCCCTTCTGTGGAACGAGACAGACCCATAAAGGACAGCTACTAGTGCAGTTAATACGATACTTTCAACTATCTTGTAGCCGTTTTAGTGGTATTTTTAGTATCAGTAGTCGTAGGAGATATCGTAGGAGTGGGAGTCTTGGTTGCTGATGTTGTTGTTGCCGCTGTGTTTGTTGATGTTGTTGAATGTGATTCTGTTATACTATGGCTGAGAGGTTAATATATGTAACTAGTTTGCATTTTATGAATGAGTATGTGAGACCACAGTGTAATAATTATGTGAAGCTAGTTAATTAATGAGCATGTGAGACAACAGTGTAATTATTATGTGAAGCTCATTAATTAATGAGTATGTGAGACCACAGTGTAATTATTATGTGAAGCTAATTAATTAATGAGTATGTGAGACCACAATGTAATTATTCTGTGAAGCTAGTTAATTAATGAGTATATGAGACCATAGTGTAAGTAATTATTCTGTTAAGCTCATTAATTAATGAGTATGTGAGACTATAGTGTATTTATTCGGTGGCGCTCATTAATTAATTAGCTTCATATAATATTACACCGTGTTCCCTAATACTCATTAATTAATGAGTATTTGGGAATACTGTGTAATAATATGTGAAGCTCATTAATTAATGAGCATTTGGGAACACAGTGTAATATTATGTGAAGCCCATTAATTAATGAGTATTTGGGAACACAGTGTAATATTATGTGAAGCCCAATAATACTGTGCATTCTTTTTCATACATTTTTACAGCATTCATGGAGTAAGTTGATCAGTTTAGTTTCAAAGAAATCGTTCTGTGACATTTGAATGTGATGGCAACGAAGATTTACAAGTATGCTTGATCAGCGCTTTCCAGAGTTCTCTTCAGTGCCTGAAGGAGCTGCGGGTGGTCAAGGCTGATAACGACGGGTTTTCATTCAGAAGACATTGATTTAAATCTTCGGGTAGTGTGACGTTTCTTTTTTTTTTTTTTCTGTCAGTGACAAAAATAACATCCTTATCTGCACAGTCCATGGTTACAGCATTAGCCAAGCGGACTTAAATCCCCAGACTTACATTCACTCCACCTCCAACCCCAACCCCTTCCCCTTTCCGCCTATACACTAACAGTTGTAAATAGCAAACACTAATTGCGGTAAATAACCTATGCTATGCTGCGATATGTCAGAAAGACCTACCCTACATGGACTGATAGTTACAGTGATGGTAGAAAGTGATAGAATGGTCCTCAGCTTAAAATTGGTGAAGGCAGAAGTAATGGTAGCGGAAGTCAACGCGATAAGATCTTAAGCAGCCTTTCGTCTTTGCCAGGAGCAGTGTCAGCATACAAACTGTAGAAAACTGAATTGTGGAGATGCATGCTCATCGCCTACGCCAGTTTGGCACACAACACTTTTGACTGTTAGACTGTTTTCCAGGACTAGGGATTCAGCATCCCGGAGATTCTCTAGGGGAAACAACTGGCTAGTCTGCCTGTCCGAGTGACCTGGTATCTACAATCCTGGATCTCCATGAGGAACACGTTACGTCATGTTTTAGAAATGGTAATTAATATAATTTCATCAAAGAAAGTTCGATAGAAAAAAAATGAGGTTTTGTATGGTCTTCAGACAGCAACATAAACAATCGCCGCCAAAATGGACACTGGAGTAGATACTGCTCACAAGAGAAATGTCCTTACAAAAATTGTCTCAATAGTTATAAAACAAAGAATTAAGCAATTTACTTTTCAGATCTAGACACAAAGCGAGAAACGAATCACCAAGAAGGCACTGTAATGGACAACAGATGGATTGAGGAAACGATAAGTTCAAAAGAACAGTATCAGAAGTGTTGATAGGGGAATCGAAGAATCCTTTATGGATTCCACTCATGATATCGACGGGATTGCTCGGGATAGAACTAAATTAAGGATTAGAATGTGAGCACTATTGGACATTTGATGGCACAACATAAAGATGATACTAATGATAAGTGTAACACAGACACTGAGATGATTACCTTTCTGAGAAGCGTCGTCTACAAGGACAATCTCAGTGATCAGCTCTTCGGGGCCAGCATCTAGGATACTGAAAACTGCTCTGAACAATGCAGACCACATTTCTTCTGTGAAGATGATAACTATCCCGACCGTAGGCAGATTTGATGTATCGTATGTCAGGTTTTTGCATCTAATTGAAAAGCGTGGAAATGCTGAATAAATTAAAAAAAATTTAAAATGTGTCTCCTGTTCATAAAACACAAAGCTTCACAATGTATTGCCTGGTGCCTTCAACTCATTATGTACCCAGAAACTTGTGGCGTGCGCATTTCACACATATAAGAACTCCACACCACCTCATCCATACTTCGGTCAAACCTACATCTTTTCATAGTTTTAATATTGTAGCCACCCACACAAAAACAGCCCTTTTCTACTTCTTCATAGTTTCATCGTCTATAAACTATATGGGAAAATTGTGGCTTTTTGTCTAATTCTGAAATTTGATCTTGTTCCATGGCGTGAGTTTTTAGTGCTCTTAACAGACCTAGTTTGTTTGTTTTGTACGTATGCACACTGTTGTCTCGTATGCCTCTAATTTGTCATGCAAGCTGAGCATTGCAGTGTTGTTAAAAACCCTACTCTTGTAGTGAAAAATAAACTGGCAGATCAAAAGAGTAAAATTCATTATTGAATCTCTAATTATTCATTAACTATATGAGCTTTCTGTCGGGGCATTAATGATCATATAAGGTTTTAATAGATTATTTTTTTTAAGCACTTAACAAATATCTTTTAAGTACTAATGAGCACTCAGTTACATTTGTGATAAATGGATAGACTGGCTGATGACTTGCATTCACATTCAGCAGCAAATAAGTTATACGCTAACCAATTAATGTTGAATGTTGAAATATGAATCGACATCATAGCACTCGGGACACTCCCTCAAGTGCTTCATCCCCATCTTCAACAGCAAGCAATTAGTTCCAATTCCGATAGCCCCAGTAACAGTCTGATTGTAGATCTGTCACGTCCTTCCCCTCAGTTTTGAAGGTCGGCCAGATCCCCCTTATCATCTCACAGTGCCATTCTCCTCAGACCCTAATAATCTATCTGCGCCTCTTCACTGTTCACTCGTTCCCAAAGGGCCATCACAATATCTAGTTTGTCATACATCAGTTCACCAACAGATGGTGCAGAGCGGCCAATATGTCTGCTGCACAGTTCCCAACATACCGTCATAATATGGCGAACCAATGAAGTAAGAAGTGAGTGACCGTGGTTTAAGGACGTCACAAACTTAGCTTTTACAATGAAGATATGAACGATCTGTGTTTGAAGGACGCCACGAAGTTAGCTTTTACAGTGATATTATTAACAGTCTATGGTTAAAGCGTCCTCGTATGTGGTTTAGGCGTTGCGAACTCGCTTCGTAACGTGAACCCAGCTGCGGGCCTTGAGCCCTGCGTTGGTTTCGACAGTGGTATTGAAAAGCCGAACGTCCAGAAAGCAATTGCACACTCATTCATTCATTCATTCAGTAGCATGTCCCTCGCGGAACCTCGCTGCCATAACAACCCTCCGGAAAACCTTCCTATCATGAGCAAGATGTCCTGCGTCCTATTCGCATTCTGTTTCTTAGTCTGACACAGTGGATTTCCTTGGTAACACAGTCAGGATTAACTCCGTCATCACGATTACTAGTACCGACCCCTGTATCACACTCTTCCCCAGTGTTATCTGATCTGCCTGGCCTGGGGGTCTCGCCACCAGATCTCTTCTGTGTTATGTTTTCTTTCATGATTGTTATGGGTTCTTGGCAAAATTAATTGCACACTACTGGACGTAAATTTGCCTAGAGAAACCACAACAGCCAAAAAGTGCAAGGGTTGGTTCTGCAACGTCCGGTAAAGGATACCCAACTAGCTATGGTTAAATGACACAATGAAGTTAGCCTTTACAGCGAAGATATTAACGTTTGTGGTTGAAGGGCGTCACAAACTTAGCGTTTACAGCAAAGATATTAACAGTTTTTGGTGAAAGACGTCACGAACTTAGCTTCTACTGCTAAGATATTAACTGTCTGTGATTGAAGGACGCAATGAGTTAGCCTTAAGAGATAGAGAGAAATAACAACATGACGTTGAAAAATCGGCATTTATTTAAGTACCATTTATACATTTATCCAAAAATTAATATTAACTTTGTTATTTTATGCATCTTATAATTTAATACGTCCACTCTGTGTTTTAACGGGCAAGTTCCGTTCTTGTGGCCGAGGCTGTCGAAATTGTTTACACAAATAACATTACTAATTAGGAAATGTAAAATGAAAAAAAAAAAAAAAAAAACGATTTTGACTTTATTGTTTACTGAAAATGCTCAGTGAATAAACATTTAGAATGATGTGACTCACTCTGGCATATCCAAGATAATGTCTCTTCTCAGTGCTACTTTCTCACTTGCCAAATGATTGACGCCCCAGTTCTTCAAACCGTTGTCATAGATGACCTTCTCTCTTTCCGTCAGCAGGCTTCTGTTTATGGTCACGCCAGCTCCGCCGTATCCTGGGATATATTTTAAACAGAGACCATAGCTAAAGTTCCTGGTTATATTCTCACAACACCTGTTACAAATCAACATATCTTCTTGTCCTGTCCGAGAACATCCGGTAAAGTGCAGCAGGGGAAGATCCTGGCCTGAGAATCGTGACACAGTTCGGCCCACATTCCGAGATTGTATAGGAATTGTAACAGGCCGAAACAGTCGTCGACGAGGAATCTTTATACTGATGATCGATGGACCCCTGCTGTACATGCTTCCCTGTAGAGTTCCTATTATTATCCACAACTGAGGTATCGGACACTTTTTGCTAGACACAGACGTTTGTATGGACTAATCGAACCGGGTTGGCTATATCAGGGCTATTTAAATAAGTGAACTCAGGGGCTCAAATGTTGAAAACGAGGATCGTCACAGAGTAATGAATCAAACTCCTGGACTAGATGATTAGACGACTGGCATTGATACCACTCACTTGCTAGGTCTTGGCGTATAAGATTTGCCTCGCGGACCGAAGGTTAAATAGCTACAGATTATATGATTAATATAACACTGGCGATTTTATTTTTCTGGGTCCTATTTTAGCCTAGATCGTCCTGGTAGCTCCGATAATTTATATTCTTTCGATACAAAATCCACACCAAGATTTCGACAGGCAAGTATCTAAAAAAGCGCTGAAGGGGCTCCTATCTTAAAAAAAAAGAGGGGGAGGGGTGGGAGGAGGGATACATACATTTACTTCAATTCCATGAATTAGGACAATGACTAGACAAACACGAACGTGGACGAATACTTCTGAAGTATACAGTGGAAGCCATGTTCCCGATTTTCATTTCTTTCTTGAAAGTTGCTTGAAAACTGAATTGGTGCTGCCAGGAGAGGCCAGGGGATCTGGCCGACACTCCGCCCCCTAGGAAAGGGCTAGACAGATATACAACGAAACTGTTACTGGTACCATAGGAATTAGAACTCTTCGCTTTCTGTTGAAGATGTGGAGGAATCGCTTATGGGAATGTCACAAGCGCCTGATGTCCACTCTTGATTGGACATTCAATATTCGAAAACACAGATGACTAACGCTAAATTAACGCTCACTTAACTCAAGAGGAATGCTTACACAGTTTTGCATTTATGCCGATACTTTTGGCATACACGTTAAAGACAAGAAATGACCTGTAAACAAAGCTAATACCTAAGAAAAAACAAGAAAAGTAAAAAAAAAAAGTATGAGCATACATTATTGAAGAAATTGAACCTGCACCAAAGAAACTGTCACAAATACATTTTATAGGGAGATGATTTTTTTCGCTGTTGAATGCTGAATGTTGAATTAAGAATCGATATCACAGCGCTCGGGACACCCCCATAAGCACTCTGTCACCATCATAGCAGCAAGCGAAGAGTAAAAATGCCGATGTTACCAGTAAATGGTTGATGTATATCCGTCTCGCCTTTTCACTGAGTGTCGAGCGTCGACCAGATCCCCTTGTAACTCCTCGCAGTGCCATTCCCATCAGACCTTAAAGATTTATCCATGTCTCGGTACTGTGCACTCGCTCCCAAAGAGCCCTCACAACATCCGGCTTGTTATACATCAGTTCACCACCAAGTGATGCAGAACTGGTCAATATATCTGCCTACGCATTTCCCTATACACCCTCATACCTAAAGAAAATATCCAAAAGATATTTATTTCCTGTGCTTGTTTAATCTGTTGCTGTTCTACCATGATAATCTCATTCGTATGGGCACCGTTATGGTTGGGGTGGTTGAGTCTACGTCCAGTCATATTTGTTTTCAACAAAGACTTTGTCTCCCAGGTAGGTGGACCAGCCTAGATTAAGTACAAGGTTAGTCACTGGAAGTAAAGACGGCCGAGGTGATATTAGCTATATCACTGATCAAGCGTCCATTTGTCTGTAATAATATGAGTCTAGAAGAGTGGCTCTTAACCTTCATAAATACAGCTCCTCATATTGTGGTGGCCCCTAACGGTAATAGTATGTTTGTTTTTCCTTCATAACTTGATTAAATATGTTTGTTTTTTCCCGATGGTCTTAGGTGACCCCTGTGAACGGTTCGTTTTACCTACAATAGGGCCGCGACTCGTCGGCTGAGAACCCCCGGTATATAATCATGTGCCTGACGCGTTACTTCCGCGAAAAGGTGTCCTGTGATATGAGTTAGCCTTAAGAGATAGCGAGAAATAACAGTATGAGGTTGAACAATCTGCATTTATTTAAGTACCATTTAAACATTTATCCGAAAATTAATATTATCTTTTATTTTTATTTTATGTATCTTTTAATTTGATATGTCCGCCCTGTGTTTTAACGGGCAAGCTCCATTCGTGTGGCCGAGGCTGTCGAAAATATTTACACAAATAACATTACAAATTAAGAAATGTAAAAAAAAAAAAAAGATTTTTACTTTATTGTGAATTGGAAATGTATATAGGAGCTGCCGTGGTGTAGCGGCTAGGCGCTGGCCTACAAATCGGAGGGTCATGGGTTCAGGTCCTTACAGAGACCGGACTTTCTTTGAATGACCGTGCCTGTCAGGTCGACACAACCTTAAATGGGTACCTAGTAAACTGTGGGTAGTAAAGGCGGCTGGCGTGATGTT